TCATAGAATCATAGAATGGTTAGGGTTGGAAGGGACCTTAAAGATCATCTAGTTCCAACCCCCTGCCATGGGCAGGGCCCCCTTCCACTAAACCAGGTTGCTCAAAGCCTCATCCAGCCTGGCCTTGAAGACATCCAGGGATGGGGCATCCATAACATCTCTGGGCAACCTGTTCCAAAGGTTCCAAAGGTAAGGTCCCTCCTACCTGTGCTGATGAAATTTGGCTGTGGTCGTTTTGGTCTGCGCTGGTGTGGTTGTCTTACCTTTCCGCTCCCGAGGCTTCCAGTCTGCGTGTGAGCTCACGCCTGCGCAGGAGCCAGCAGTGCTGCCAGCACCTGAAGCGGCATATGTTGTCGCTTTGACCATCTGCCACGGAACACGATGGAGAAAAGGAGGGACTTGTATGTGAGGCCCTTTTATCCGTTCTGTGAATTTGCTTATATGTCGTGTTAATGACTCGTGATCGTAGCTGGAGCCACTGTTCACTGGGATGGAACTAGATGATCTTTAAGGTCCCTTCCAACCCAAACCATTCCATGATTCTATGTTGAGGTGACTGGCTGTCAGAGATTGCACAAAGGCAGTGAGATGTGAGCAGTGCAGAGGTCAGAGAGGATGCTTAGGCATAGGGGTCATCTTAGGAGAAACCAAAGTGCTACGAGAACTTAGAGGGAGAAAATGATTTCTGATGAGATTTATCTCCAGCCATTCTCAATCTGCACATGGAATAAGATGGGAAGAGTTTTCCAGTCTCCTTCAAGCTCAGCTGATCCCTGTAGCCTGACGGTGCCTGCAGCCTTGCAGCAGTGGTGTGTGGTGTTGGGTTTTTTTTTTCCCTCTTCCCTATTTCAGAAACAGTGTTGCTTGTGTAGAGTTCCTAAATTTTTCAGAAGCTGCCTTGAATTGGTGCTCAGGCAGACTGCTCCGAGGCCAGCCCAAGCAAAGCTGTGTATACAGTGCTGGAGGGTGGCAAGCGCTCTGGGTAAGTGATCTTGATAGGTACATTCTGATTGATGGGGGAGTTTGTCTCCCAAACTGTCACAGGGTTTATAGAGGTGCCACTCAATACCAGTGCTGGAATTGCTTGTCAGAGCACCTTGCAACAAGAGCAATGGGGATTGGAGACAGAGCTGTAACTTTGTTTTTTCTCTGCTTAATGGCCCCGGCGTCTGACCTGCCTGCTCACTCCTGTTTGTCTGGACCTTAAGGAGGCAGCTGGGATTAAGACTGTCAGAGGATTGTGCGGCTTTAGCATCAGGAGGCTAATTGTATCGGGACTGGCAGCGTGTGACAAGTGGTTGCCTCCTACCAAATGCACAGCAAGAGCAAAAAATTCTCCAAAGAGGAAGATACAGGAGAGTCAGCATTTTAGTTTGTTCTTTTTTCATCTGAAAGCAGCGTTTTCAAATTCACGTGTTGAAATTATGTTCCTCAGGCCTTGGGTGACTCTTGCAAGAAGAGTCACAGCTGCTTCTGTGAATAACAGGTCGTGTCTCCTGTGAATTCCTAGGTCAAACTCACAACTTAACATTCAGTTGTCTGATTTCACTTTATTAACACGTTGGGATAAAGCTTTGGTCCCGAGCATTGACCTCTGGAGAGCGGCACTGGCTTTAGAGGTCCCCTCTAGGCAGTGTTGCTGATGGCCAGGAATTACTGTGCAACCTTTGGAAGCTGAGCCTTGCTAGAGGGACCCTTCCCCATTCCCAGTGCACAGTATTGACTTGCAGATCACTCAGATGTAGTGGTAAGGGGTCCTCTGGCAGCTCCTATTCTCCTCTAGCAGGTCCAAAACAATGCGGTTGCAAAGGCTGTTTTATTCTGCTCGACACCCTCTGCGCTCCATTTCATGTTTTCCGTGCTCCTGGATGGCATACAGGAGCTGGAAGTTGTGAGCCCTCTTTACATTTGGGCTGAGTTAGTGAGAAGCAGGTGTGATCCTATCGGGCCTTCCTTGCATTTAGTGGTCCTCTTAATCCATTTATAACAACGCTTGTCCAGAAATCTGGTTTGAATGAGCCTGAGATGAATGAATAATGTCAAGCAGTTCAGACGTCAAATATTTGAACAGCTGCGTGGGTGTTTTCACTGGCTTTATGCATGGAAACAACCCCAGGAAGTTAGACAAGGAGGGTCAGGTTGAAATTGTGGCACCAAACCCCAACCTGCCGGAACTGGCCTCAAAAATCCATCCCTGCTGCGGATGGAAGGGCATTAGGATGCCAGTAGCGGACCGTTCACTCCACAGGTGATGCTGCACTGAGCTTTGCATCCTGTTTTTTCTCTTGCGTGGAGTGGAAGTACTGGGATTTATGGACCTTTTGATTCACATTGGAAACATTTTGTGTATTTTGTCTTTCCTTTTTTTTTTTTTAAGCAGCTTCTGAAGTCCTAAAATTGATAGCACAGCTAATATTGAGTCTTTTCTGGGTTTGCAGGGGTTACTTGGTTTAGCATGCAGCTTCTGAATCAGGTTGGGTTTTTTACTGTTCTTGGTCAGGCTAAAAAAACAAAAAAAAAGAGAATCCATATTTGTTGAAAATCTGAGAGTTGGATCACCTCATTGTCGCTTCCTTCAGGCCTTGGCCTGGGGGTCCTTGTTGGATCAGAAAAGAAAATTTATCCTTCTCCTGACCCTCATCTTCACCTATGAACTTCTCTGTTATGCCCCCCTCCCACCCACCCACCCCCGACTGAAATCCTGATGTGTATCTGTCATCGTAACATGCTGTCCAAACCCTTCCCCTCAACGCTCCCCATGCTGGGAGGATAGTACCCTGTTGGCACTGCAGTGGTTCCTGTTATAGACCTAGGTTCAGCAAAACCTCTGGAGTATTTTCCTTTCAGACTTAAAAAGGATTTACTTGAGTACAAAGGTTTTGAGAGCAAGGACACCAGGATTCTGAAGTCAAGGTGCCTTAATATTTGTAAATTGTATCGCAGTAAGCAGATCTTCTTTTCTTAAGCTCTAACCATAAACCACTAGTTGGCTCGAGTCACTTGGAAACAAAATTGATGGAAAGGTGCATGTTTGCGATGTGCTTGGCATCCTTGCAGAGAGAGGGACACAGGGAGCAGTCCCACTTACGTTCACTCTTTTGGACACCTTTTCCCCAGCCAGGGCGCTTGCTCCACATATTCATTGTCTGGCTGGTGCTCAGATCACCTCTGGGACTGGCCAAGTCACAGCTCCAGCTTTGTATGATTTATGTCTCCCACAGCTACAAGAAAAATGAAGACCTGTGTGTCCAAAGTTTATGGCCTTTGAGAAGTGATGGGCTAAAGTAATGCCAGGTGCAGTAACACCATCCCCTGCAGGTTAAATGCCATGCCTGTAAATTACCACCCCGTCGCCCGCTGCGACTTCTAAGGCAGCTTTGAAAGACCATCCAGCTCCCTTGACAGGTCTCTCTTACTCCTCTAAATCTTCTCCCAAACGTTGTGATGAACTGAAGGAGTCGAGATTTACTAGATGAGCCATTGCAGCAAGAGAAGGCAGCCTGTGGCATGTGTTGGCTGCCAGCGTGCAGCCGGCATGTGAACCACTTTGGAAGGGGGCTGCTGGAAGGGGGCTGCCCCAGTGACACCGCAGAGCTGACCCGCAAGCGTAGCTCCTGCAGTACCCGGCACAGGCAGGGGATGCTGCATCGACCATGCTAGTTTTGTTACCTCTGCTAAAAATGAAGGCTGGCAATTACTTAGAAGTAAAAGGTAGTTTACGCTTCTAGGGAAAGGTTAGTCTTAAAATCATTGCCATGCTACAGTTATCACTCGTTAAGGACCTTCTTTATATTCAGGGAAGAGAAATATCAAATCCATATAAACAAATTTTATTGGGGGCTTAATGAATCAGTGAGAGCGTCCATTCCTAGAGAGCGACAGTAAAAAACTGTGCCTGCGTGGTGTCCTTGGAAATGAGACCTTCGCCTTGCCGTGCTCCCTGCACACATCCTGACTGTTAAAAACACAGCTCGCTCTTCTGGGCTGGGAAAGTGCAAGTGTGCTGCTGGCAGCACGAGCTTGTGTAAGTGGGCTGGTGGGAGCCCAGCGGGATGAACATACTCAGACATCTGTAGCACTCCGGGCTACCCTAACGCTTGGGAATGTCCTTATTCTTCAGACATGCACCTTATATGCAGTGCTTTGACATTAATTTTAGCCTGTCTTCTGCGTTTAGAACTGCATCCACAGTGCAGAAATCTGCTGCAGAACTGAGTGCAAACGAGGACCTTGCATCACCCTAGGATTCAGGAGATTTTTGCTTAATTTCCAGTCCCGTGGGAGAGAGCACATCCAGTGTTAGATCTCCTAAAGAGTAAATATATGTCATCTTTAGTTTCCCTTCTGTTAATAAACCTGAGGCAGCAAATGCTGTGTGAAGGTTCATCTTTGTAGGTGTTTGTGCACAGGTTCAGTTAAAAGAAGCCGGGTTACAGTCAGCAATAACACAGTCAACAAAATGCTTGAGAACCAAAATAAATGTGTGTATTGTTAGAAAGTGGCAGTTGTTACACAGTTCAGGCTTGGGTGGAACTTATGTTTGCTTCCTGCTGTAACTGGGACTGGGCTCCTGTCTGATCCACCTGTGTTGGAAGTGCAGGACTCTTGTTGACTTGCGCTAGAATTTGCTCACGTAAGAATTACTTATAAGGAGCTGTTAATGACTGTTGAGTCTGATTGTTCTGGGGTTTTTTTGTTTTCCTCTCATAGAAACAGGTTTGCTATTCTTGAATGTTTTATATTGTAATAGTTTAAACCATGATGAAATGCATTTTAAAAAGGTGTTTTTAATTGTCTTTTAGCCTCTGCCTTCTGCATCTGAATTAGAGACTAATTCAGAACATCCCTGTGGCGTTCTCTTACCTGCTAGTAGTGTAGTTTGTGTTAACCACTTGTGTGAAGCACAGCCTGCAGACTGGTCCTGTTGCACCATCCGTAGGAGATCTCGTACACTTCATCTCCAGTTCAAATGCTCATCCATGTGTGTTATTTTCTTCCAGGTTCTGGGTTTATCATGTGCAGTGGCAAGGAGAATCCAGATAGCGACGCTGACCTGGATGTGGATGGAGATGACACACTTGAATACGGGAAACCACAGTATCGTTTTTGAAAGGCTCTTACTGAGAGGGACCCTAGAAGTGGATCTTCAGCTAGCTTTCATACAGCTCTGCTCTGGGTGGTGGTGGATAATCTGTGTCCAGCCCTACTGGAAATTACACCTCTTTCTCCAGTTACCATGTTATTTGAACTGGATTCCCAGTTAGTCCCTCTGAGATCCTTCTGTTGATGCAGTGTTACTTCGGAGCCAGTTGGTGAAGTCTGTAGGAGACATTGCAAGGGATCAGAGTTCCTGTTTCATAAGCAATCTGTTGTCTCCATCCAGGTTTCTTCCATATGGAACTCCTGCAAGGGTGTTAGGCAGACACTGACTTAGCTGTCATGAGGGGGAATGTATAGCCAGAGAACTAGATTTTATTGAAATCTATACCAGCTTTTAAGACTGGTACAAAGCCACAACCCTTAGCTGGTGAAAGATCTCTGTACCTCAAACAGAAATAGTGGAATTGTGCAAGTTAGGATTGCAGAGGTTGAGGAATTGGTTTTCCCTTCTAAGAGGCTGTGGTAAAAAACTTTTGTTTCTTTCCACCTAAACCAAAAGCTTAATCCAGAACTTAAAAGCAAGTCCCTCCATGGATACTAGCCCCTCTCCTTTTGAGGTTTTCCCAGCCAGAATGAATTTGTTCTGTATCCCACACAGTGTCCTAACCATCTGAAAAGCCTTTCCACTGTCTGCAGCAAGGCTGTACGTTCCTTAACCCTTTGTGCTCAGGTACACAGAGGCAGACGTCATACCTTGCACTGGGGAAGAGCCAGGTGAAGCCAAAGAGAGGGAGGCGCTCCGAGGTGCTGTTTTAAAGTAAGTACTCTGCCTTTCTAATTTGCTCTCGTTACTTTTGGGGAATATAAATTCATGGAAAATACCCTTTGACTTGAGCACAAGGGTCTCAACGAGAGAGACTTAAAGAAGCAGTAGTGTGATGGGTGGGTCTCCATTTCTACCCGTGCAGCCTCCTAAAGGCTCCCTGCACACTCTCCCTATCTCAACCACTCCGCTGCCCAGCCAGTGCCACCTTCTCCCTGAACAGAAGGTGAATTCTGTCAATGGGGAAACTGTCCAGTGCTAAGGCCTTAGTGTCCCATTGCTTCACGGTGGGCTGTGGCCTCGGTAGTAGTATAACGTGATGCCATCCGAATCTTGTTGGGCACGTTAGGAGTCTGGCACCCAGGGTATTATTCCATTGCTTCCTATTATGTGCTGTGGGCTATACAAACAAATCCTTCTTCTCTTCAGCTCTGGCGTTGGGGCAGGATGTGTGCTCTGCCCATGTACCTATGTGGAGAATGTAGGCAGCCAGTGTTCAGGGCACTTGGGGAAGCATTTCAGGCAAATAAAATTAGTTTTAACAGGGAGCTAGGATTGCTTTCCAAGCCCTCTGCCCTGCATAAAACAGGGCTTAAATTACCCCTCTATCTCTTTCACTGAGTGATCCTGTAAGGTCAAGGTTGAAGTGATTGATAGAGCAGTGAAATGAAGTTTTCTTACTGCTTAGCCTGTCACAGACACTAGTTCCAAATGAGGTTCCACTCCATAGAAAAGTGGCATTTGCCACACTGGACCCAAACCATTGGTCCGTTCAATACTGTGCTGACCATGCTAGTCCATAGGCAGGGCCTCAAAGATGCTGGAGCTCCTTCACAGTCGGGACAGTGGAACTGTAGTAGGATATCGGAGAACCTGAGGCCAGGAGACCCAGTCCTTCATGTGGCCTGCACCTAACATTGTTTTGCTGTTTGGGCAAGGTCCTTGCATGTTTCCTGGATGTGTCTGCCCATCTCTAAAACAAGAGAGGTGATGTTGCTTGTAAAAGCACTTTGAAATTCTGGCAAGTTTCTGTAGCAGAGCAGCTGATGCAGTGGCGCATGAGCCTGCATTACCTTTTGAGTGCAGCTGTCTCAGCACGTAGCGCTAAAATGTTCCACGCTCACGGGTGTGCAGCCTGCTCACAAGATTCCTTTCTCGTACCGTCTGTTACCGGCTTGCAAGTGAATGGACAGGGTTAGGAGTTGTCTGTACATCAGTGCTGCCATTTTTCAAATACGGAGATGGAAAAGATGAGGCTTATGAAGGCCTAAAGTTATTCTTCAAGGGAGAAGCTGTTGCAACACAGAGGATTTCTGTTCACGAGTAAGGTTTTCATCTTTGAAACTGTGTTCAAAAATGAGCCGTAGGTCACAGGTGCTGCTTGAATCCCGAGCCTTCAGTCAGCACCACAACCCCTGTGGGATTCAGCAGAGGTCGCAGCTGGAAGTGCAGGTTGAGAAAACACGTGTGGAAATGTGGACTAGCAACAAAACCACCTCCTGCAGCAGGCCAGCCGCTCACGTTTTGAAGCCTAGACTGACAGATAGAAGTATTGAGAGAGAGAGAAGTGATGGGTGGAAGAGTTAGCTTTTTCCAAGCAGCAAAATTTTCCATATTCAACCTGCAGCATTCTGCCCTTTTCTCTTTTAGTGGTGGCACACCCAGTACTCGAATAACACCGGAGTTTTCTAAATGGGCCAGCGACGGTGAGTGTTGAACTTGTGAATTATTAATTTGTATGCTGCAGGAAGCCAGACAGATATTCCATATCTTCTGATTGGCAGTAATTAGGCAAATGATAGCTATGAATGCTCTCGCACAGTACTAGCAGATATGTATGCACATACAATCACACTGTCTTTTTGAAACTTTGCAGCACAATTAACTGTAGTCAGTGGCAGCCACGTTAACTGCTGTGGTGATAAGAGGTAGGGCTTGGATTGACTGTCTTGTCACTAAAACACAAACCGCTGAGGGAGCCATCGGACCTTGACTGTGTGATGGTGGTGTTCAGCTGCTGGGGGTTCAAACTACACAGGCACCTGTTGCTTAGGCTTTTTCAGCTGCTTTCTTATCTTCCCTTCTTTGAAAGAGTATACTAGAGACTTGTGTCATGATCTGTTGGGTAGGTCTTACCCTTGCTGGCCTCTGCGTAGCAAGGAAAGCCTGCAGCTGTGAAGCCTTCACCTTTAGAGTGGGAACTCTAGGATCTGTCCAACTTCATGACCTGTAGTTGAGACTCCGGAGCAAATAAGTGAATGAAACTGTACCTTTGCATTCATTATTTGGAAGCTCATAGCATTAAGTAAGGGAGACGGGGGTGTTAAACCCATTTGACTGCTGGGGTTTTTTTTATTTGATGCCAGCAGCACTGGAAATGTAAGCAGCAACCTAGTGGAAATATGAGAATAATAAAACCTGGCGCTTTCCAGCTGTAGATGCCAAATCCATTTCCAGAGCTGGGCAGTGCTGCTCCAGCTCCCTTAGGAAGGGAACTGAAGCTCAGCGACCTGAAGAGCCTTGTCCCAATGATTTTGTTCCTTGCTCTGTTACTGTAATGCTTTGGGCACTTGATTCCCAGCCTTGAAAGTACCTACAAGACATAACTGCTTGTCAGTGGAGGGGGGTGGGTAGAACCAGTTTTGCCAAGGGCACGATAACTAAATGGAGAACATAGGATATCTATCGCAGGCATCTTCCTCTGTGGGGTAGGCAATCACAGTTATTTTCTGTGATGTAGGAGCTTGTAGGTGTGTTCAGCTTCAGCAACTACAGCCACAGAGGTGATGAGGAAGCAGCCCTGATGGCACTTGCTGTGAGCTGTTTTCTTCATACCTGTTACCTGAACCTGCAGCCCAGGTGCTGGCCCCAGTTCATCTGTCTCATCTCCAGCTGGTATCTCACACCCCCTCAGGTGCTGGGAGGAGCCGTGGGAATGCTAATACTAGGAGACCTATGAGCAGGCTGGTCTGTCGTACTGGTGACCTGGCAGATATTTCTCTCCCTGTCTGTGTCTGTCTCAGAAAAGGGAGAAGCTGAGAGCAGCGTCTGGGCTGGGTGGATTTGCTCCTGATCCACCTTTCTAGAAGTACCCTTTGGCGAGGTACACATCACACCGTTTTGAATTTAATCCTGGCAGGTCTGTGAGGGTCGGTCAGTATGAAGTGGGGAGAGGGCAGGGGTTGTATCTTCAGCCCTGAATCATAGAAGGGTTCTCTCCGGAGCCGGGGACCTCCCTGCCAGACAGGGACACGTAGCATTGGTCTCTCTCTTTCTGAGAATCAGCATGAAAATGACTCATCAGGCTCCTCTGCTCCTGAAACTGTGACTCGTTCAGACTACTTCATTGCAATGACCAAATGCTCTGTTACTCACTTGTCTGTTCTTCCCTCGACAGAAATGCCCTCAACGAGTAATGGGGAAAGCAGTAAACAGGAGACCATGCAGAAGACCTGTAAGAACAGTGACATTGAAAAGTGAGTGTGAAGTGGCTAGCTTTCATGTTTAATGTTTTGAAGAACCATAGTGTCCCATCTGGTGTTCCCAGAAGTAGTGCTAGTCTGAGGCTAAGCATGTTTGAAGCTATTACTGCTGAGAAGGGAAGTTGTGCTCCAACATGAAGCCTGGGCTGAGAATTATTAGTGTCCTCGCTGCTGCTGTGTCCACAGAGGGGCTGTGGGGAGTTCTCACCTTGGCAGGTACCCAGTGACAAAGAACTGAACACAGCTTCCAGAGGGTTTCTCCACTGCAAACTACCTTCTTTTAAAATACGTAAATAGATACATCTCTGTTTTCCACCATATTCTAGCTACGATGGGTTTTCAAATATGTTGTGTGGTGCCTAGACTAGAGCTGGGACTTCAGATGGGAGGTGAAGATTCAAAACCACTGTAACCTGACACAAGCAATTAGCATGTCAAGCTGTGCTTTGGTGTGGGTTTTTTTTTTTTGTTATTCTCCCTGCAAGATTTCTGTTACTAATCTATCAAGGGATCCTGGTTTTACTGGAGAAGTTACCTTATCGTTGCATCTTGGTTTTTGAGGGCATGGTCTCTATTCTGTTTTCTCCATGGTACCTCTGTGTTCTACTCTCTATCTCTCCAGCAAAAGGGAATCCCAGCAGCCCCATAACTTGGCAGAAGCCTCACTGAGAGAATTTATTTTCCCTTAAGATTCCGATTTCACCTTTGTGTGGTTGCTAATGGAAATACTACATTGGTTCCTGAGTTATTTACCTGCAGCCCTTCCAGTTGATTCAGAAGTTTAAGTCCGAGTGTTTGAATATACAATAGTGCAGGAGCTCCTGGCCATCTCCTATCTTCCCTCTTTCTGCTGAGTGGATATCCTGCAGCCTAGTCCAGGATAGAACCAAATGGTTGGATCTGCACTGTGCATTTGAGTAACAGCTTCTATCCTCAACATCCTTCCACATGCTGCTAGGGTGACCTACTGCTCGGGCAGATTTGACAATCCAAGCCTAAAACTACAGGCTGCCCTGGACTGCAGTAATTGGGATGGGACAAGTTCGTTATTGCCTGACATAAAACATTACCTCAGGAGCAAGCGATAGACAAAATAGCTTGAATGAGGTGGAAGCAGTATGGGTTTTAGACAGCATTTACAGTTTGGGGATGAAGCCCACTGATAATTTGGGATAGGGAAGAAATCTTGTGGTAGCATTAAGCTGCCTTTACATAAAGTTCAGGGATTTTTCTTGTTTCAGTGGGGTTTTTTTGGGGTGTTTTTTGCTTTGGTTTTATTTGAGGTGTGTTCAGCTTTGGGTTTTTTGTTCGTTTGTGGAAACTCTGTGCAGCAGAGGAAACTTTAACACTGCTTTGCTGTCTTGGCACTTTCCTTCTTACAAGGCTTTTCATTGGCACATCCCAAACGTGGGCTCTCTGCTGGTCGATGCTTCTCGATGAGCAGACTTTGGCCAAAGACCACTGAGTTAGGGAGCTCACAGGTCAGTGCAGAAGCAGCTTTGTCCTTAGAGTGAGCCCACCGTTGTGTGCTGTCTTGGTGGCAAGGACTCGTCTCTTCTGCCCTAATCTGTCAGCCTGCCTCAGCTGCTGCTTGGCTTCCCTTTGGGCCTCCTGCCTGTCAGCCCAGCAGCCTTCCACCCTCCCAGATCCACTCCTATTGAAAATCTTTAAACTGCAGGAGCTGAAAGGATTTGACATTTTCCAGAACACTTGAGCTCAAGTGATAAAATTGACATAGCTTTAATAATCTGATCAAGGAGGCTTTAGCTAGCACCTTTTGAAGGATCCTGGAATCCTTTCCAAACAACTCTCATGCTAACACCACTGAAGTGGGGGAGCGTGTCTGTGTGTGTGCAGACGTGTGCACACCTTGCTCCGCAATAACCTTGCCCCGCTAAAGCTTCAGGTCTGCAAAAGGTGCAGAAAGGCAGCAAAACCCAACAGAAATTAAAGGAGAAGTCTTAGTGTCTTGCTGAGTCTTTCCAATAATGTTGTTTTTTTTGAAAGTAGCAGGGAGAGCTTTTTATTGAAATTGCTCTGTTTCACCGAGATTCAGAAAACAGGGTGGTGTTTCAGGTGGAGAATTCCTAGCTGCTTGGGTTTGGTTTTATTTTTCCCCCCTCTCTTCCTTTCCTTTGAGATTTGTGCATGATAAATAGTTTCTGTCCTGCCATTTAAGGAGTCTGAACGCTCTGTGTGCTTGTCTGTGTAGAGGGGTTCTGTTAAATTAATTGATAACAGGGATCAGAGCTAGAAGCCTACAGAAAAGGAGGGGGAAGGGTTTCACTCTGTCTGCCTGCTTCCCACTCCACTGCTGAGCCATGATATATGGCGACCCAGCCCAACAGGCTAAATTGATTCATCTCCAGTTCCTGTTTCTTAATCTGGAGCTAAATTGGTTTCATTTTTCTTGTTTTGGGTGGTGCTTACAGGAAGTTTTTGGCAGCATCACTCTACTCCATTGTTTATAACTTTAATTTTTGCCTTTAAATCTGAGTGTTATTGATTGGCATGTTAAACCCGGTGTAGCAGCTGATTAGCATTTTTAAAAGTGTCCAGAAGCACATGGCTTACCACCTGTGTCAGCCGCGCTCTCCGTTAGAGCAGCGGCTAATAGAGTTAGCAGCGATCCGCATATTGATCCTTCTCTCAAGTATGACGTTCCTTCCCCCTCCCCTCTTCCAAAAATAAGACTGGGCAAGGAGAGCGGTGTGGTTTTGTTTGGTTGGTTTTTAATTCATTAATACAGTAAGTACAGCAGGCGCTCCTCCTTTTGGCATGCAGCTGGAGCTCTTTGCTTGAGGAAGTTAATTTAATCTCAGCCCAGGTTTTCGTGGAAGACTCTTGCATGTAGAACGACTAGATGGGGTTGAGGGCGAGTCTGTGCTTGTTGCCCGGCTCCTTGTGCCGTGCCAGGTCATCAGTAGCTTGGGCAGGTTGACCTCACCTGCGTTGTGTGGTACTCAAATGGCAGCCACAGGTAGGGAGAGACACGGTGCCGGTCCCACCTCCCCGTCCCAGCGCGGCGGGGTGAGCGTTTCTCATCTCGCCACGGTGAGGTGTCTGGGAGTCACCCTGGGATGCTGAAGGCTCTTGGGGAGAGCTACATCAACTCAAGCTGTAGCTTGGCTTGGAGAAAGCAGCCGGTCCCTAATTGCCCAGGCATGCTCCCCAGCGCCTCCGCCGACGTCATGCTCTCAGCCGAAGCACCGTCACGCACGGAGAGCTGCAAGAAGCACTTTCCCTGCAGAAGGTCTTCCTCCCTCCTGAGATGCTGCCCGCGAGGGTTCTGGTGCCATTTTGAAACCGAGGTTCCCCGGGGTTAAAAGCCAGCATCTTAATTCAGAGTGCCAATGTTCAATTTTGCTTTCTGCCACCAGACTAGATTGCAGGCCAGCGAGAGAGTCTGGGTTAGTGGCCCACTGGGTCACCTCCCATTTGTTTTCCTCAATTTTGTGTTGTCATAAATTCATTCCAGCCCGTTGTGGTTGATCAGTTTATCTCCGCCGGGGCAGGGAGCGCCGCGAGCATGATATATGGCACAGAGCATTGTAGCCAGCCTCTCCATGAATCACTCCAGCTGTTTGGTGTCAGCCCCAAAGCAAACAGGACCCGGCCACTGAGCGTTGACTACGATGAGCTCAGTATGGGAAGAGACATGACGTATGAATGTTTATTTAATAATTCTCTAATATTTCCAGCGGAGTGTGGCTGTGCCTTCTGGGGGGGTGAAAGCCAGGAAGGGGAGGGGGAGGTTGAAGAGGGAAACTCTAATCTGTTGGGGTGGGTCATAAATCAGGCAGACAACATCATTAATCAGGGATGGGACAGAAGTGGAAGGAGGTGGGACTGGAGCTGCCATCCTTGGTGGGAAGGGGGCTGTGCTCTTCTTTTTTTTTTTTTTTTTTTTTTTTTTTTTTGGTAAAACAAATCTTGTTTCTGATTCCGCCTGGCCCCAGACGCGCTGCCCGCATAATAGCAAACCCGGACGCAGGGCTGTTTCAGTGAGTATGCTACGTCGGCTATAAACCTTGCGATACTAGCCTGCCAAGCATTAAATCCCTTTATAATTATCTTCTTTATATAACACTTCATGCTCATCATGCTTCATTGGATGAGACGCTCATTGGGTTAAAAAGAGGGTTTTAGAGATAAAACGCAATTGTGTTTGTTTTTTTTCTCATCTCCTCTTCCCTCCCCTTCCCTCCCACCTCACCTCTTTCCAACCCAGCTGTTCCTAAAGCATCAGCTCAGAGGGGCTCTGGCATGGCAGCACAGGAAGGAGCATCAGTGAAAATTAAACCGAGTTTAGGTCGGGGTCCTTGTGCAAAGAGTCAAGCGTGCAAGAGCGGCCGGAGAGGTAGCAGTGTCTGTCGCAGGGACCCTGTTCCCGGGCAGAGGGGTCGAGACGGGAGCAGAGTGGGTGTGAAGCCAGAGGATTAGCAGAGGCCTGAAAGGGAAGGAGCCACGCTTAAGCTGGTGTGTCAGAGGGAAACAGAAGCTGTTGTGAATTCACACTAGAGGATAAGCGCTCCCCAGCCCTTCTCCATGGTGTCACACCATTAATGGGCTTTGGTGGGAGACAAGAACATCATACAGCAAAGACAGAATTAAAAGATTAACTTGAGTCATAAGTGAACTAACCCTTTGTGCTCCACTAAGAGCGTGGTGCTGGTGGGCTCAGTCCTAGATCAGCCCGCGTAAACTTGGGACAGGGTCCAGGAAGCTGAACTGAAGCGTGGGATTGTCAAAGCCAGGCTGAGGAAGCGCTGCTGGGCTGCTGCTTGTGTCCAGTTTTTTACCTTTATTAGGTCCTTCCTTTCAGTAATTCAGGAGTACGTAACGGGTGCTTGTAACGCGTACTGGTGTTCAGGGCTGGAAGGGTGCGTAGGCAAGTGCTCCGTTTCTTTATGGAGTGAGACTTCGCCCTTGCTTCATGCTCTAGGTTGTGATGGTGGAGAGCAGGGTGCTGGGCTGCATTTCTTTATCCCTCT